CAGCAAAAGCAGAGGATTAGGATGCTTAGATTGTTCATCCCACAGGAGAAAGCCCAGGGATTTCCAGTCTTTTTCTTCAAGGCCCATTACATTACCTCAGCCCACAGTGGTTTAGGTTGGCTTCTTGGCAATTGAGGAGCAGAGATTCTCGAGTGTGAGCTATTTGGACAAATTTATATCTATGTTTTTAGCTTTGCCCTATCTGTCTTTGCTACGACTCTGTGAAGTAACCTGGCAGGCTTTCCCCAGATGGTGTCATAGTAAACACATGGAACATTCTAAGGCTGGCATTCAAGAATGCTTGGAGTGCCTTCAGACATCCTTTGATTCAGGCCTATGTTCCAGTACCGTTTGTAGGCAAGCCTCTTTTCTCTTCTTAGTTCTCACATGTATCCATTCACTCAACGTCTATAAAAATTTCTTAGAGCAGTGTCCACTATCACCCTACCAGTAATTCACAGATTCCCTTCCTGAAAGCTCCATGTTGCACTCAATGTTCCCACCGAAGCCCCCCTTCAGGCCACTTTCATCATTTCTCTTCAGAACCTATCCCTTAAGGTGGTCTTCCTAACAGCCTTCAGCATGTAACGTGTCTGAGCTCTGCCCTTTTTTCTCTCAGCACACACCTTTGTACCTTCACCACATACTCTTCATTTCTGCATACAGTATGTCTAGCACTTTAAAGCCAAGATACGGCTTTACCCCCCCCCTCTCTCTCCCCCAACTCTATTCTCTCAGCACACACCTTTGTACCTTCACTCCATACTCTTCATTTCTGCATATGTCTAGCACTTTAAAACCAAGATATGGCTTTACCCTCTCTCTCTCTCTCTCTCTCTCCCAACTCTTCTCATCCTTTAGAAAAGAGATGACACAATCTAGATGGGGACTTGAAGATTTTAATTAAACAGACAGCCTTGATCAGGAAATACAAGTCCCTCCTTGTCTCATTTCTACTAGCCTCACTAGGCAAGAACACATCTTTTGTCACAGCTGGGGTGAATTAAGGTGGTGTTGGTTTTTTGGGGGGTAAATGGCATTTCATACATCTCAACCTCTGAACCTGTGTTACATCTATCAGAAGGAGGTAAGCACCTGCCCTTCTGGAGAAAATCCAAAGGGTTGGCAACGTGGACCTTCCACATTTACAAGGTATTATAAGATAGAAAAGGATACCTCAGCTGTCCTTTCTGTTGGTTGGGAGTTCAGCAGTCGATAGTTTTGATTTGATACCCAGCCACTTTCCTCTCCCATTTGATTAGATTCTGGGACTTGGGCTTACTTTCCATTAAGGCCAGTTCTGCTTTGTAGAGGAAACATCTAGACCCTCCCAACCAGTGACCGACACCCTCCTCACTCCTTTGGGCATAGACGCATAACGAATGGCAACCCAACGTCCCATTTTTATTTATTTATTTATTAGATTTTTACCCCGCTGACTTCCCAGATCTCTGAGCTAGCAAGGGGACACTCGGGTTTGTGTTATGTAGCAGCCATGTTCCACACAGTTTCTCTAGTTATGATGTGTAGCCATTTCCTTTGGGTCAGGGAATAGTCTATGGGAAGAATCTGGCCTTGGCAACAGTACAAAAATAAGTTCCGCTTCTGGTACAAAGACAAAAGAAAGATACTTCCTTCCCAGCTCCAGGAGATATTGGATGTACGTGGATACATGCTGTTGACACCAAACGTATGGCATAGCTAGCTATCTGCAGCTGAAGCTAGAGCAGCAAGGATGTAGGGAGCCAAAGTTGCCCTCTGCTGCCCTTCTTCCAGAGATTCTCCTGAAGAGCGTATTGTACTCTCTTCAGCACAACAAATGTAACTACCGTAATCGCTTGTGTGCCTCTTATGGCATGACTGGGGAGGAAGGAGAATTAAAATGTGTAATATTTAATAAAATATACATCCCGGATGAAGCCAATAGCTTAACTAAATGGGAGAGTTCATCATCAGTAATCTCCTCTATCTTTGAGCCACTGTAATGATCTGTTGATTAACTAAAAACAAACCCAAAACGTTCAAACAGAAGTCTTCCCTGTACAGGTTGAGTTTCCACTCTGTACAGTACTTTCCACTAAATACCACTGGATTGTTTTCGCTATTTAGCTCTGAAATGTCTCTTTCTCTTATCTCCTGGAGAAAAGAATCAAACGAGAACGCTGTCAGAAGTTTGAGTGCTGGACAAACTACATTGTGGTTGTTTTGTTGTTGTGTTTCACTCCTATTGCTCTGGGTGTATAGAATCTGGGCTCCTCAACTGGCGTTCCCATGTTGTTGGACAAATGCCCCCGAATTTCCAGCCACCATGACCAATGGATATGGATTCTAAGAACTGAAGTCCAGTATGTTCAAACCCAGATTTAAGGATCGCTGCTGTAGGAAACAGTTCTTCTTTTAATCAGCAGAGATAATTTCCACCCTCTATTTTACTTCATAGAAGTTCACTTTTTTCCTTTCACTCTGGGTACCCAGCCTTTTGGGTGAAACAACTTGACTGGCTGCTTGCAGTTTGTTCTACCTTATGTGCCAGACCACCCACTTATCTTTTTACTGTAGCCCTTATTTGCAATTGCATAAACATGCTGTAAAAAGTAAATGAAATGCAGTGGTTTATTACATTTATTCATGTATTTTGGTATATAGTTTTATTGCCAAATAGTATTGAGATTATGTCTGCTAAGACTTTTATTCAAAATTATTACATATTTATCTTTTATATTAAATGTAAGCAGCTTAATTTGAGTCTTTTAAAAAAAACATACAAGAAAAATGTTACTGAAAAATATCTTTTCTTATATGTTTATAAACAAAACAACCAGAGAGCAGTAAAATAATGTTTCCCCATTAATACACACAATTAGAGTAAAATAGTCAAAGCTCCACAGCCATTACTGCATATATTACATGTTATTTTCTTTGCTTTACTGTTTCAGAGGTATGTTGAAACTGCTTCCAACAATCTCCTCTAAAACAGATCAACCCTTTATGGCTGGGGTCAAAGCAAACACTAATCACGGACCAAGGCAATGCCTATGTTAACTCTCAAGAGATGTAAGGCATCCCAACGTGTCTCGTGCGCTGTTCTGGCCCAACATCTTGCACAAAGCAGTACTGGAGGAAAGCAGAAGCAGCACAGCGACTTTCATTTTTGCCAGAGGATCTTTTCTTGCAAAAGACTAAGATGGGACTTACTTGAAGCCCAGTTTCAGGTGAAAGATGATATGTACAGTACATCAGCAATACCGAGATGGTGCTCCCCTAAGGATTGAAGCCCAGTTTCAGGTGAAAGATGATACAGTACATCAGCAATACTGAGATAGTGCTTTCCTAAGGGTTTCCTTCCAGCATTCCTACACACAAAAATACTCGTGTCTCTTACTCAAGCAGTGGTCTGACAGTTCTAGCATCCCCTTCCAGAAAAGAGGCTCTTGTCTTCGTATCACGAGCATGAAGAGCATTTCTTGCTGAGGACATTCTCCCAGCTCCACCATGTTGAGAGAACATGACAATTTGACTGCTGAGGCCACTGAACGTTTAATGTTCCTGCTTCCAGTGCCACTGCATTCTGTTGCCAAAGTCAGCTACTTCAAGCAAAGGAAGGAGGAACATGACAATTTGACTGCTGAGGCCACTAAACGTTTAATTTCCTGCTTCCAGCGCCACTGCATTCTGTTGCCAAAGTCACCTGCTTTAGGCAAAGGAAGGACAGAGGGAGCAGTGGCTTCATCGGAGTGAACACAGTCCTAAGCTGCCCGCTTGAAGCAGGCTACAGTCTTTTGCAAAGAACTGTGAGCTACATCCAATGAAACCTGGACAGAATAACTTGAGATGCAGGATATGTGTCCTTTCAGTGTTTGGAACTAACTGGAACATTTGTGCAGCTATGCCACTCTTCCTTCCTCTTCCCAGCCTCTCCTGTAAGAATTAATTATGCAAAATAGGCAAACATATTTTAGTTGCATAATATGGGGGATACTTTTCAGCACCAACTCTGATTACTAATGCAGCTTGTAGTCTGGAATACTTGCTAAGAACATTTCAACACTGGTATTTGAGCGCCTCTTTTTGGTGTCCATTTCTTATCCCAAGTAGGGAAAACAAGCAACAGGAGAAGCTGAATTGTGCATTGTAAAATGATTAACCGTAGCAGATTCGAAATGCTTCCCCCCCCCTCCAATCCCCAAATCAGACTCTGATGCTTTTGGTAAACCTTCCCTGATCCCTTCAGCGATAGAAGGAAAACACTCTGAATATCTGCTGTATTGGATCAGGTAAAGGATAAAGGGCACCCAACTCTCTGGGATGTTAGCTCCTAAAATACTGCCTGCCTAGGAATTTTTAAATAGAAAGAAAATGACCATGCAGACATCATTTATGAATACAAAACGGTTTTTATTTGGCCTTGCAGATTGGAAGAGTAAACACATTCTACAAACCATTTTACACTTATGCCCTAAATGAATAATCTTTCTTTGACAATGTGTAGCATTTTTCAGCTCTGCAAACAATAGAAAACTGCCTATTTAACTTGAGTTTGTTCAGCCACAGCTACATAACTAATACAATCTATGCCTTAAATGTTTTCCTGTCTTAAAAGGGATGGGAAAAACCCACCAAGGCTGCCTCATTCTTTCTTCACAGCTTACACTGCTTCCTTGTATTGTCTTTTCCCATTCCTTCTTATGAAATTTATATCTCCTTCATCCTTCACCAGCATCTACAGCTAGAAGTAGGCAGAAAATATGTGTATAGTTTAATGGACTTCTTATGAAGCAAGTTGAACATGGTGGTGTTCTTTTGGTTCTTCCTTCCCCCCGTTCACCAAATTTTGGCTGGCCCCCCCTTTTTTTTTGGTATCTGTGCGCTCCTTTCACATCACAGGAGACACACACGGAGGGGAAAAGTTGTTCAAAGTGGGAAGGCAACTGAAAGAGCAGCCCTTCCCACTTTTACTGATATTCTGAAAATAGACCAGGAAACACATGCTAGCACAAATGTCAGATTTTTAAAAGATGGATTTTATTAAGCACAAAACAGCCGTCAATACATTATCCATACAAATGGGAAAAGAACTCAACTATAATGAAATTCAAAGATTTGATGGGTGGGATGTATATTGGCACAATAAAAAGGACAATTTAAAAGGTAGAACAAATTAAATTTATAGGGTCACCACTGTCTATACAACAGATAGCTTGCCTAAAGGCTTTTTTTTAAAAGGGAGAGAGAGAGAGACTACATCATCTGAAGAGTAAAGAGAAGTACTATTTTGTGTGGAACCTACACTTCTTAGCACCATTCAAAGCTGGTGTCAGTCGCTTAGACAAAGAAGCACCTGACAGGTTGGGTAAAGCTTCAGAGCAAGGATTCAGTGCAACGTTTTCAGTTCCTTTTAATAATATTTGAAATCTATGGTTTCATAGCATGTTAAACAATTATGGCTTGATAGATGCTGTTAAGATGTAAAATTAGGTTTACTTCAAGAAATATTAGGTTTTATAAGAGCTGTGTAAATGCATTTTAATGTATCATGGCAGGCGTAGGATGCAGATGACATGCTGAGTTACAAATGGGCATTTTTATGAGCTGGCAGGTAAGAGACTATTAGCTCTCTGTTGTACAGACGTCTGGTTGTCTCAGCTGCTGTTTTTTCAGACAAACTAGCTTTAACTTCTCTCTAATGTGTTCAGCTGTAGAAGCCATATCACTTGGGCTCCCAAAGTACTGCTCAGTACTAGAAACAAACAAGGGAAAAACAAAGAACAGCTGAAACAAAGAAAGCAATAAGAAGAAATAATGCACTTTTTTTGGCCACAGTTCATGTACCAAAATGTAAATCAACATACAGTTGGTTTTCAACTATCTGGCTGGCTCAATTTGGGATCATTTTGGATGATTTCACCCACTTGTATATGCAAAAGTACATGATGATGCCAGATCTCACAACTTTGCTCGTGTGTCCTGACTGTTGACTTTTTAGCTCATTCTAATTCATACTAAGGTGAATTGCTGGGGAGCTTAAATTTCACTTCAAATGAACAATAAACATCACATTCCTTTATTTAATTCTGCAGTATATAGAAACTGGTCTTTCAAAGGCAAGGGAAGAGATAATGACAAACTGAGGTTGTTGTAAGAAAGAGAAGATACAGCATATATGGAGCTGTGGTTCTCTTACTGCTTTATGGGGAATGTGCACATCTGGGTTTTCTGCCTGCACAAAGCCCCTCTCAGGATGTTCTAAAGTGAGAACACCCTCCTCTGTGTGCATGGCTGAGGTGATTGAGGGCAGAGTTTTACATAAATCTAGAACATTATGAGAGTGGCTCCATGCTGGTGCAAGATCCATATGTGGGTTGGAGATCACGAAGAAGAAAATGTAGAACCCATTTTCCATCTTTCGCTCTGCACGGTAGCGCAAGCTGGCAGCAGATGAGATGCAGCAGTAGATCTGCTACTTTGCTCCTACCGATCTCACTTGGGATGGCTGTCTCACTGCACTCTCCCATCAAAAACTTAAATGTCAAAGTGTACAACAGTGTTATTACTTACATTAATTTAGCTAGTACAACACACTGAAGAAGTTTAGAATCATCATAATGTAAAGTCAAGCTACATACCCATCAGGATAAATTATAGGCACTGTTAATCTATCCAGAAGTGATTTTCCAATGGACTCAATCTCATCAAATTGTTCCTCATCATTTATAGATTCAGACTGATCCGGGCATTCCTGCAAAACCTGCAACACAGATGTATTAAGACAAAGGCACTAGGTAAGTCAAGTTCTAGAGTTTCTCTAAACAGAACGGGATCCCTTCATAGTCTAATTTTCTTAATTTTATCTCTAGCTTTTGTTATACACTAAAGTAAGGCTCTGGGATACAAACAGAGGATGGTGGTGGGTGAGATATTGTAATTGTGAAAATCTGATGTTACATGGAATCAAATGGCTGCAGGGGGATAGAATGAATACCCTTTTATAAGATACAGAATTGTAATCAGAATTCATACACATGTTGAGTCATTTCAGTTGATCCGCGTGGAACTGGAGATTGGTAAGATCCAAATCTATGAAGTAGCTTCCTATCTACAGAGCATGGCTAAAGTTGACCATTTTGCTTTAACTCTCACCTGTTTCATGCAAAATACTTTAGATATTGCCTTTAAATTCACTCACAGTTCCTAAGGATGGGCAAATGCGGCTACTAAACAATGCTATCTTTACGCCCAAATTAAAAAAAAACATGGTTATGTACACAGACAGTCTTAGTAGCCACTTCTGTGAAGGAAATCTGTCAAAGTCCAAACATGACTTTTAGAAATGCTCGGCAGTTTAGGTCAGGTTTTGGAGATCGAGATATTCTGTAAGGTTAATGGACATGAGAAGGCTGCCGGGCCAATTGAAGAATAAACAGATGTAAATGTCGACATATAACTCAGTTCATTTTCAGTAAATGAAATCAAAGCATGGGTTGAACCTAAAGGTATTCAATGAACTTCTGCAAAGGTGTATTTTGACTTCTGACATTTGGTGTCTTTCACACAAAAGCCAGGACGGTCAAGTGCCGAGAAATCCATGAGCTCCTGGCTCACACATGAGATTGTTGTTGTCTATAACAATGTCTCCCTACCTTGGATCCCCAGGTGTTCTTGGACTACAGCTCCCAGAAGCCTTCACCACTTGTTCTGCTGGCCAGGATTTCTGGGAGTTGCAGTCCAAGAACATTTGGGGACCCAAGATTGGGAACCACTGCTGTAGAAGGATACTACAACATGGTTTAACGAAGCCGCTGACCACCATGATATTATTTGTGGACTACCCTTTCTAGACGATACAGTTCCAGGCTGCACTGGGAGATGATAGGACTGAACGTTCTTTCCTATACAGACTGTAGTCACAAAGCAAACTGGATGTCCCAGAAGATTCTATTCTATTTATTCCCATCAGTGCTCACCCATTAAGTGCTTAAAATCTGAGCAAGTCATATAGCATGAAGCAATGTGCTTATATTTGGCTCAAACCAGAAAGCTGAATCTTTGAAAAAGTAAAGAATACTCAGTTTACAGGGATTGATTTTTAAAGCATGTCTAAAAATTTATAAAAGGTTAATAGTACAATTGAGAGCAACTAACTTTTTCAGCACTTGAGTGGAATGCCACAGCCATTTCCAACCTAGTTATTCTCTCTTCTGAAGTTATTGTGAACTGCTTCCACACTCTGTTCAGCTTCGGAAGAGTGTCTCCTGAGGACCTGGAAGTGCATCTCAGAGACTGACACAGAACGACAGTAGCCTGCAGTAACTGTCTCCCGTAATCATAAGTACTCTATAAAAACCAAAAAAAAAATAAAAAATAAAAAAAAAGATGTAAAAATCTGAATTTCAGAACACAGTGACATATTTAAAAGAAGTGAAATATCTAAAATGGAAATCGCAAAACATTACTGAACTTATTTAAGCTATTTGTATCCCAGACTTGATTCTAAAACTTGTTCAAACAGTGTAATACTTTCTTCACTTCTTCCTTTTGCTCTGCTCAAATGTCTGGTCTGTTATCCGAGCATAAACACTGGTCAAAGAAGCTCCTAATAAAATACACCAGGTTTCCTTGAATTCATTAACTTGTTCATTCTTGCCTAGCTCCCAAATACCTAGCACATGTATGAAACACAGAGGCCTCAAGGAATTGGGGGGGGGGATCTCTATTTCTTCCTTCTCCAAGTCTTTTGCCATTTATGAAAAACTAGAGTGGGGAGGGATCAGAGAAATCTCAAGGGGCTCCTCCAGAGCATCATAGTAGCAAGGCTTGGAAGTTGCTCCTCCTCCAGAATCCAAAGAAAAAAACAGAGGAGCATCTCCTTTTCCTCTCTGAAAAGGCCACCAGATGTGGATAAAGGTAGGGATTAGTAGCAGCCATAGATAATGAATGCCTAGTAAGCCATGCCAAGGTTTCCAGACCTTCTGACAACTTACAGAAAAGGCAGAGCAACTGTCAAGGCTACTTTGTTGCAATTGTCATTATTACTGTTTACAGCAATATCTCCCTTTCCTTCTCTGAATTCAATGCCCTGCACAAGGTTCTCCTCCACATGATATCTATAAAGATTTACAGGAATTCATGCATTCCAAAATCAATCCTATAACTGCTTTAAACAAGACTGTGGTTGTCCTCAAAGATATGTTCTAACAGAATAATCTTGCTAGATCTACTTGTGATTTCTGGTCATTGGTAAAGAACCGTTAGGGTTAATTTTAGATGTAGTCTTAACCAGCAGGATTCTTGTGACCAATCTAACCAATTTAAGAAGGAAAGTCATCCATTGTATACCTGTGCTACATCAACAAATTTCCGATGCTTCTCCAACAGAATTTTGGTTTCTTGTGCATCATCTCCCAGTCGGATGTGAGTTTTCAGTAGTGCATCTAACAATTCACTTAACCATTCTACAGCCTAAAGGGAAGAGTAGAAATGACAGAAAATACCTTTAAACCAACATCATCAGTCTGGCCTAAATGACTCTATATTTCCACAATGTCCTATATCAGGTTTACAATCTATTCAAACTCACCTGAGCAGCATCTTCTTCACATTTAAATAACTGAACCATCTGAAGCATCTTTAATCGTCTCACATCTACCATGTCCTCACATCTGTGGAAACCAGAAGAGTATGCAAACCGATCATAAAGGTGATTGGGAAACATTTATATCAAGTAGCACTGTGCACACACATCTTTGCGTGTTGGTAAAGTTTGATTAGAATATCACTACAGCATGAAAACAACCACCACAGAAATACTTGCCTATAATTTGATAAACACCATCATATCAACATTTTTTAATCAACAATACAGTAGTTACTCAAGATAGTACAATGAGTGTCAATTTCCTTACAATTCTTCAGTCGAATATACTGTATTTATATGGCATCTATATACAGTACAAACATGCTTCTTCTATCATTCCAACAGCTTAGCTTTATTGTGGTTTCTGGCAATATACGGAACTCAGGCTGGAAAAGGCTGTTTTGGCTGAAATCCTATTGGGAAGGTTCTGCCTGAGCACCGGGAATAACATCCCTGTCAGCAAGACTGTTGTTGATTAAATACCTCCTTTTTTAAAAAAAGAGAGGTTTCCTACCTGTAACCATGGTTCTTTGAGTGGTCCCCTGTGAATCCACACAAATGGCTTGTTCTGCGCCTGCGCAGGACATCTCGGACGTTTCTAGAGCTTAAAGACATGTGATTAGTAGGATGTTCCCCTGTGGAGCGCATGCTCCACCTGCCCAAGGTCCTCTCAGTTCCCAAAGTCCGACGCTGTCAAAAAGGTTAGATAAAGACAACAAAGTGACACACAGAGGGGAGGATGGGTGGGATGGGTGGATTCACAGAGGACCGCTTGAAGAACTATGGTTACAGGTAGGTAACCTCTCTTTCTTCTTCGTGGCCTCTGTGAATGCACACAAATGGGTGACTAACAAGCTCACTTACCAGTTGGTGGGTCATCACTGAAGAAAGGATGTCAATATAGCTCTCCCAATCCGGGCATCATTCTTTGCTCGAACATCCAGCCTGTAGTGTGAGATGAAGGTGGATGGATTGGACCATGTGCCGGCCGACAGATGTTGGAAATGTCCACGACGCACTGAAATGTGGTGGAGGTAGCCATCGCTCGTGTGAAGTGGGCCTTAATGGTGTCAGGAGGCTTTTTCCCTGCGAGCTCATGGGCCAGGGAAATGGCTTGAACTATCCATCGAGACAAGGTCTGCAATGATGCTGGACAGTTTTTATGAGGTCCATGAAAACAAATGAAGAGGCGTGGAGATGCCCTGAAAGTTTTTGTTCTGTCAATATAGAATGCAAAAGTGTGATGAACGTCCAAAGTGTGGAGCATGCACTCAAGATCAGAAGTCGGTGAAGGGAGGAGAGACAATAAGATGATCGTCGTCGTTTAATTGTGTCTGACTCTTCGTGACCCCATGGACCAGAGCACGCCAGGACCTCCTATCTTCCACTGCCTCCCGAAGTTCTGTCAATTTCATGTTGGTTGCTTCGCAGACACTATCCAGCCATCTCATCCTCTGTCATCCCCTTCTCCTCTTGCCGTCACACTTTCCTAACATCAAGGTCTTTTCCAAGGAGTCTTCTCTTCTCATGAGATGGCCAAAGTACTGGAGCCTCAGCTTCAGGATCTGTCCTTCCAGTGAGCACTCAGGGTTGATTTCCTTTAGAATCGATAGGTTTGTTCTCCTTGCAGTCCAGGGGCCTCTCAAGAGCCTCCTCCAGCACCACAGTTCAAAGGCATCAATAAGATGATAGGTTGGTACAAATGAAATTCAGATACTACCTTAGGGAGGAATAAGACATCTGGATAAAGTGTGACTTTGTGAGGATGGAATTGTATGTATGGAGAGTCAGATCTGAGAACAGAGAGCTCACCTGCTCTACAAACTGATGTGATGGCTACCAGGAAAAGAGTCTTCAATGAAAGAATTTGAAGTTAGTGGAAGCCATGGGTTCAAATGGTGGTTTGATGAGACCATTAGGAACAGTTTGGAGAGACCACTGAGGAGTGGAGGTCGCTGTGGAGGGCGAATATTGTGAAGTCCTTTTAAAAATCAAGGTTGGATGAGAGAAAAACTGGCTGGTTCTGCATCTGGTAGTTGATGAGCTGGGTGATTGAGGTGATCCTGAAAAGGACAAAAACTGATCCCACAGCTATAAATACTCAACTATCCAAACAAACTGCACCAGAGCACAGACAGAGTTCTGACTCCTGTCCTCTGAAGATGCCAGCCACAGAGACTGGCGAAATGTTAGGAAGAGCAACCTTCAGAACACGGCAAAAGAGCCCAAAAAACCCACAACAACCATCAGATCCCGGTTGTGAAAGCCTTCGAGAATACGATGAACCAGTCATCGATGTAAGGGAATATGGTAATTCCCTGTATACGAACATATGCTGCAATTGGTGCTAGGCACTTCGTAAAGGTTCTTGGTGCCATGGATAAACTGAATGGGAGTGAACAGAATTGTTAGGCAACGCCAATGAAATGGAAGTGAATATATTTGTGAAGTTTCAAATGAATGGAGATGTGGAAGTAGGCACCCTTGAGGTCGATGAGAACAAACCAGTCTCCCTGTGAAAGGAGGGGAATAACAGTGTCCAATGTAATCGTTCGAAATCATTTGGGCTGGATGAATTTATTTAGGTGTCTAAGCTCAAGACTAGGATGGAGTCCTCCGTCTTTCTTGGGTACTGTAAAATAACATGAGTAGAAACCATTGTGAAGGTCCTCTGTTGGGACAGGAATGATAGCATGTTTGCATAGAAGAAGGGAAACTTCTTCTTTCAGGGCTGAACAGTAGGAGGTTATTTAATTGAACCGAGAGGGAGCATATGGTGGAACTCTATATACGTAATAGCCATGTTCAACTATAGATAGGACCCAACGGTCATTGGTGATATGAGTCCAAAATTGGGGGAAAGGGTATAGACGAGTTTGGGTGAATGTTGGATTTATAGAGGCCAAACTTAGAAAATTATGGGTATTGCTTACCCCTCTTTTGATTGCGCCGAAAGCGTTGATGACGTTGATGTTGGGCTTGAGCTCGAAAGGGTAGAGAGGGGGAAGTAGTCTGATCTGGAAATGGTCGTTCAGTCATCAGAGATTTGTAAGGCTTGTGTTGCTGCTGATATGGTTGATAAGGCTGCTGGACAAATTATCTGCGCCACTGAGGTCTTTGGATTCGATAAGGTTGTTGAGTTGAATAGGAGCAGTTTTCCTGATTTTATGCAAATTATCCATGAGCTCATCTGTCTTTTGGTTGAAAAGGCCAGCACCATCAAATGGTAAATCTTTGATTCAAGATCTGCTATCATCATACCTGCAAATCTGAGCCAAGCATGGCATCAAAGCACAATTGATGTGGTCATGGCTTTGGAAGCAGCATCAGCAGTGTGTCGGGATGCGATTCTTTGTTGTTCAGCAAGCATAGAAACTTCGGTATGGATGTTAAGAGCTTCTGTTTTATATGCTTCAAGGACCATCTGAAGAACAGGGAGAACTTTATTCCATAATTGACAATGGTATGTGCCCATTTCCACTTGATAATTTGCTATTCTCATCAGGAAAGAGGTGAGGGAGTAGAGTCATCTCCCAAGAATGTCTAGCTTTCGACCTTCCCTGTTTGTCAGGGCAACAGATGATTTGTTCTGAGCCCTGGATTGGTTTGACTCCACAATACCAGAATTGGGAGTAGGGTGCTTTGTCAGGAAGGATGTGTTGGTACCATGTGTTTTATAATGATTTTCCATTCTCCTTGAATTTTGTAGGGACGAGGGAGGCTTGTCCCAGGACTCCTTGACCAACTCTAGCATTGCGGGGATGAAGGCGAGGCTAAGCAGGGTGTTTTATCCTGATTTATATCATCGAAGACCAAATCTTGCTTGGGTGGTGATGGTTCTTCGACGTCGAGTTAATTTGGCCATCCTCATAACAAGTTGGGAACAGGAGATGAAATCCTCTAATGGAGAAGGAGGATGGTTGTCAGAAATGTCCGATCCAGGGGTAGGTATATGTTAGATGGAGATTCTTGAGAGATACTGAAGTGAAAATCTTGGATCTATTGAAAATGAAGTGGAGGGAGAGGCTGGTTGGTGAGGTTGCGATCCGCCTGGATCAGAGGGAAGAGGTGGTGGCCTCTTGTAAGTAGTGGTGACTTGAACTGAGGGTCGATGATGTTGCGAGGCTGACAGAGGTATGGGCTCATATCGAGATTGTTTAGATGTAGAATGTTCTGGTAAGGTGTCATGATGTTTACAAGATGGTTTTGAGGAAACGGTTTGTTCAGGAGGCGGAGTGTGTGAAGGTTTATGTTGTCCGTGTCGAGGTGGAGACAGAGATGCCAAAGGAGAATGTCGTGCTTGTTACAGTATTGCGTAATGCACCCTCTCAGGCTTGTCGTAGGGGACATGTTCTGGTATGTCCTCTTTGATATATGTGTCATAGGATGGATAATATGGAACCGCATAATCGCCTTGTGATACCGAGCTTGCTAGTGGTATCGAGGGAGTTTGTAATGGTAACGAGGTGGCTCCTGATAATAGATGACCTCTCCATATGGAGGATGATAAGCTAGGGAGAGGTGTCTCCACTCAGATGTGTGTTTTCTAGGAGATCATCAGGGAGAATCAGAATCAGAAAGTAGTATCGGTATTGCCCATCCTGATGATGCAGGACTAGAATGGGCAGAGGCCTGGCTGGCGTGATCATCAGCCTTAGAAAGGCCAATAGTGGGAGTAGAGCTACCCGCTGATATGGAAGCCTGCACAGGAGGGATAGAGCGATAATCTCTCAGTAAACGAGAATCATGAGAGTCCCTGGATGATTCTTCCAAGATTGGAGAAGGAGGCGACGGAGGAGGTTGCTCCACATGGGTCTTGGAGAGATTTTTAGATTTTTTGGGGTTTGCTCTTTTCCTTTCTTCTTTTAGGAGAGGTTTAGGAAGCAGAGGCTTTCGGCATCGATACTGACTTCAGTCTCAACGTCAATTTGGATTGCTCCCTTTGCCCTGGTGATAGTGTCATCAGGCTCGCCATCGACTTAGATGGTTCGGAGCATGGAACCGGTGATGAGGTATGTTCCATCGATGTGGATGGAGGGTGAAGAGATTTTTCCCAGATGAGATCTAAGTCTCTGAAGCCAAAGTTTCAAGGCTGTTTTAGCAAGCCTCTTGCACGCAGAAGAAGATTGTGTCTGGTGCTCTTCACCCAAACAGAAGAGTGAACGTGTCCGTCCAATTGCGGGATCTTATTAGTGCAGAGCACACACCGCATGAATGGCCCTGGAGAGGCCATAAAAGGCGGGAAAGGAAGGAGAAAAATGGGAGAGGGGGGATAGGTTGGGGAGTAAAGGCGCGAACAAAAAGGGCTAAAACTCAAGGGTAAAAGAAAAATAACTTACGGGAGAACATCAGATGAAATGGAAAGGTAAATGTGAAGAAAGGTGAGGTACAGAGTACCGATTTGAAGAAGGCTGCTTTAGCGGTCTGAGATAGGTCTAACCTACACGGCAGCTAAAAGAAACTGAGAGGACCTTGGGCGGGCAGAGCATGCACTCCACAAGGGAATGTCCTACTAATCAAATATCTTTAAGCTCTAGAAACTTCCGAGACGTCCTGCGCAGGGGCAGAACAACCCATTTGTGTGCATTCACAGAGGCCACGAAGAAGAACTATTCATGAAGAAATACAGGTAGCTACTTTATCTTTGATTAATGAATCTACTTTTAGATCAAGTCTAAACCTTTGGTTCCTTATTCAATAGTATTACATGTTATCCTATCTGCACATAATGCACATATATATGGACTGAATGCAACACAGATATTACCTTTGTTTCCTTAGCTGCATATCATCCATCACTCCCTGGATGTGATCAACGTTCTCTTTGTTTTCAGTCGTTACATCTTTTCCATAAGCCCAAGATGCCTGGTTAGATATTTGATCAAGAAGACTTTGACCTTTTTCACGCAAACCTTGCAGACCTAAGTCTAAGGTACAATAAACCAAACTCTTCATTTCATATAACTAGTATATACTTCCCCAACATAGTAAATGTGAAGAAATGACACAGCACTGTCGTTTCATAGATTATTTCGGTCCAGTTCTCTTTTTCAGCTATGCATGAATTAATTGCAACATTTAAATTTATTATTACTTTACTTAACACACTGGAACTCTGAATTAAATCTTTAAAAATCCTACAAGAGTTGACAATTTCAATATATAAATAGGCAAATACTTATTGGTTTCATAGGGGTATACAAAATCTCTAGATCTAGAATAGCTACCATTTCCTAAAAGAAACAAGTGTCCCTTGCCCAAAATCATAAGCCATAGCTCAGTTGCACAGCTTATACAATACATACCAGAACTCCTAGGTTTAATCCTTGATATCACAAATTGAAGGGAGATAACGGGTAGGGGAGAATTTTGCCTGAGATTGTGAAGAATGGCTTCCTGTCAGTAGCCCGTCAGTAGCCAAGGAAAACTAACCTACTGTCTGAATCAATATCAAACAGCTTCCTTTGTTCAATTTACTGGATGTCCTGCCAGCACCTAGAAATAATCTATAGAAGTTGATGCTGCAAGTTTCTTCGTTAAAATTTGCTTACTGCTTATATAGCTCTAGTTTACCTTCAACTGTGATTTTCGAAGGAAGGGATTTGTCAAAATTTTAATTAAAGCCTTCTGGACAATGGCTTAAATCTTCACATGGGGCCTACAGCCATAATATAAGCGCCAAGGTGGCCAAAGATAATTTCTTTGAGCATTAATTGCTCATAAGCTCCCGCTCCTGTGTTTTACTGGCCTCGCTCCTGGGATTAGGTCAATTCTTTGCCCTACCTCCAAAATCCACTTTGAGGACGAACATTTGTAGGGGAAAGCCTGTGTGTGCACAACTCTACAGGTTCTGGAATACTGATCAATCAGTTTCTAAATTCCCATATCAAGTTCTATGAAACCCCAAGGCTTGTCTACATACCCTCCCCATATTGTGCTGCATTTTCAGTATATAAAAGGTATTTCAAATGTTTTCAGTAAAAGGGAAGAACAGGGAGATATCATCTGTGCAAAGTCCTGCAGAAAATGCAGATGCTTGGCTACACAGGTTATCCTCTCTAGGTACAATTGAGCAAGCTTTGGGGTCATCAGGATTTCCAAGGTGGGAATCCAGTTTTCCATGGGCCAATTTTTAGGTCCCCAGGTCTCTCCTACACCCCTTTCCTCCATGGCGAAGAAAAGTTCCTGAGGAGGAAGAAATGGCAATTTCCTCTCCTGGAATACATCCAGGGATGGGAATTTCTTAGTAAAACAAAGACATGGAGTCCTCATAAGCAATGTCTCCTCTGATGCCAGAGGGTTTACAAGACCAGGAGTTGACTTGTGACTTATTTATTTATGCATTTATTTGCATCTGGCATGAAAAACTGGCTCCCAGACTTTTGGTACCTCCTGACCTCAACCTGGAAAGATTTAACAAATTGTGGCCAGAGAAGATACTATATGCATTACAAAGCACAGAGAAAAAGAATCTGTGGGAGAAAATTGGTTATTTCCAAGACGTTCACCATAGGCATCCATTTTGGCATTTAAACAACTGTTGGCTTACCAACACTTTTTAACTTCTCTTCAAGTAGCTTTAATGTCTGCTGAATTGATGCTCCATCCGCTGGTGCAACATCAACACATAACATCCCTAATAAACCATCTAGTTGCTGAGACAACTGGAAAAAAAAGTGACAATCAAAATGCATCATATTACTAAACATAGTAATCTTTGACACTGGTTCTCATTGACTGACTGACTGACTGACTGACTGACTGACTGACTGACTGACTGACTGGATTTCTATCCCGCCCACCTAGAGCAAAGGTCTACTCTGGGCGGTTTACAAATTTAAAAACAATAAAACCAAAAAACATATATTATAGATCCAAGGTGGTCATTAAGACATATTACGGTATGGCAGGAGGGAAAGCCTGCCCAAACAGCCAGGTGTTAAGTCTGTTCCTGAAACCACCCAGAGAGCGAGCTTCCCTCTGAGTTGATCTATGTGAACAGCAGTACGGTCAGCTATTAAAAGAGATCTCTAAAGAGAAATAAAGGTTAGAGGTTCCTAGGTCTGAGCAATGAAGTCCAGCTTTGGTATTCCTCATTCAACAGCCGCAGTAATGCAAACAGTGGCCTGCAAATCCCAATTAGAAGCACTTCCCCTTGGTCTCCAAGGACGGAGATGAGGACTCCCCAAAATACTGGGTGGATACATTCTGTGTAGACATGAATCGTGGCCAGAAAGGACACCATAGATGTGGTATTCCTTCCCTCAGGGAGGTGTGGTTGGCCCCTTCCCTCCTTTCCTTCTACTGGCAGGTGAAAACATAGTTCTTTAGGGAGGCTTTTAGGGAGCCAGGAGGCAACTGAAATGAGCGTATTTTAAAATTTGTAATTTTTAAAACAATCTTTTACATTTTAATTACCGTATTTTTCGCTCCATAAGACGCACCTTTCCATAAGACGCACCAATTTTTTAGGAGAAGAAAACAGGAAAATATAATCTGTTTTCTTTGCTCCATAAGACGCACAGACTTTCCACCCCCCTGTTTTGTGGGGAAAAAAGTGCGTCTTATGGTGCAAAAAATACGGTAATTTGTTTTAAATAATTGTGGATTTCAAATTTTTGACACGACCTTGGATCCCAACTAGAAGAGAAAGGCAGGATAAAAATCAAATCAAATCAACTGATCAATCAATAAAATTATAAACAGCTCCAGGTTCTGAAAGATGTTGTTTAGCTCCTGGAGAAATATGGGGAACGGCCTCCTATTAAAATTTTCTCTTTGGAATGGGCAAAATGCTTTCTGAGACAAGCCTTTGGTCACTCAAGAGGTGTAGCATGAATAAAGTTGCACAGGACAGCATTAGAGAGTGATGATTCCCATATATGCTGTAGTGTGAATAGAAGCAATGATGAAACACAAGAGACATTTCTGCCCTGAGACCATGTACATTTTAAACACTCAGTCAACTCATCAGTAATGAAAAATGGTACTGCCCAGTATTCTGTTGGTTACCCAGGTGTGGTGCAGTGAATAGAGGGAGGAACTAGGGCTCATTGGTTCTAATCTCTGCTCAGCCATCAGAACTCACCGGGGGTGGTGATGGAACTGGGAAAACCACTCCTTAAATATCTCACTTACCTTGAAAGCCCTCTTAGGGTCGCTGTAAGTCAGTTCCAACTTGTTCAGTTCCTTCCGGCACAGAACAAGTATTTTGTTCTATCGAAAAGGTTATTGACATTATAGTATCATTCAACACTTGAAACCTTTTGGGCAAGAGGCCAGTTCTCAAGGAGGAAAATTGCCTCAAATACTGAAAACTGGGAAATGTGGGTATAAGAGGCAAGAACCTTCAGGCAAGAACAGAGACAAATATCCATTGTGTACATTCAGCAATCTGGTCCTAACGTTTCCTAATGGGTGCTGCTCAGTGCTTTCTTTGAAGAAGGGCTGGGCAAAGTGCAGCCTCTCATGACATTCTGGAACTGCACATCCCACCAGCATATCCAATGACATCCAATGATGAGGAACTCTGGGGAAAGCGGTCTGACATCTGTGCTTTCCCTACACCAGTCTTGCTCGGCTAAATGACAAGAATAATCATGTGCTGTGGAATCAATTCTGACTTGTGATGGCCCTTTCTTTCCAAGGTTTTCTAGCTATACAGTAGTCAAATGTTTTTTACCGTTCATTTCCTCTGGGGTACCCTGGGATCATGCAGTCTGCCCAAGGCTACACAGGCAGGCTTTATTATAGTGGTGCCTCGCTTAATGAGTGCTTCGTTTAAACGATGAATTCGCTTAGCGATGACTTCTTCGGAGCGATCTTGCGCTCCGTTTAACGATGTTCCCTATGGGCGATTTTCGCATAGCAATGTTTGGGACCATGCTTTGCATAGCGATGACAGTTTGGGTCCCCCTGTTTCGCTTAGCGATGGTTTTGACAGCCTCAGGTTGGTTGTTTTTTAAATGTTTAAAAATGTTTAGAATGCTTGAAATCATAAGTGCACTTAATAAACCCTTTATTAAACTAATTTGACTTTGTTCTGAATCTTTTTTAATTTGTTGTTGAATTTTCCCCCCCCATTGAGATGCATTGAATAGGTTTCAATGCATTTCAATTGGGGAACCGCGTTTCGCTTAGCGATGTTTCCTATGACAATTTCTGCTTAAGGACGGCAATTCGTTCCTATTGGAACAGATTATCCAGTTTTCAATGCATTTCAATGGGAAACCGCGTTTTGCTTAGCGATGTTTTCCTATAGCGACGATTTTTTTTGAACCAATTAAAATAGTTAAGCAAGGCACCACTGTATTATTATTTTAATTTTAGGATGCGCAGTGAGGAATCAAAATCCCTACCTGTGACTTGGCAGAAGGATACCCAAATCACTGAGTTATTGCAAGCCTTCTTTTCAGGCTACACATTCAAATCTGCAGAAATGTTAAGTTCATATGCATATGTAAGACACAGGGGTTTTTGTGCTCCCTGCCCCCTTCCTTGGACTGGCATTTTGGGGCTCTGTTTATCTCTAGCTGAGCTGCTGGACCATATACAGAACTAATGACGGAGTAATGTTGTACATATTTTCCTTACATCTTGGGCCACTCCATGGAACTCCAGCGCTGCTTGTAAGAGGTTCTGCCTGAACTCCAACTGACTGGCTTGGCGGTAACAGACGTCGCTCAACTGCTGTTGCAAAGCTTTCAGTTCGACAAGGTCTTCCTCGTCCCCAGCATTCAGCAAAGCTGCAATCTGCTGGTTAAGTTCCACATATACTGCAAACCACTCCTGCAAAATCATCACAGCAAAAGAAAGCCAATCCGGATTATTAATAATTTGGTCCATGTTATTTTGAAGAAACACACAATAATATTTGACTAGCTAGGCTTACCGAACTACGATGAAACCTTCCCTATAGGCTTGATGAAGAGATTAAATACCACAGCCAATAGTAAACCAGTCTTTATGAGTCTCAAAACCAACCCCTCAAACAGCACTGCTACTTCAACACAATTTTTTTTCAGTCAACTGGAAAACCAAGAAGCAATTTTCACCAATTTTCTCCCCTTTTCACCAATTTATCACAGATGTTTAACTCAGGTTATACTCTTATCTGGCTTATAGTCTACACACTCAACTGACACTCTTATCTCCTTTCTGGCTTAACAAATTATTTATTACTCAGATGTATATATTTAAAAAGGTAAAGGTTCCCCTTGACATTTTTAGTCCAGTCATGTCCGACTCTAGGGGGCGGTGCTCATCCCGTTTTTCTGTATATATTTAATGAACTGCAAAATGCAGTCAACTGATAATATATATTCCTTATTTGGGTTCTTGATCACATCATCCCAACACTTTTTGGTTACATTAAATACAACTATCAGACTATTCCATGCACTATCCTGAGTTTCACAAAATTTCAGCTGCCCTTTTCTTCAGTGGTATGCTACCGAGTTCTTTTATTAGTTCCTTATTTATAGAGTTCTTCTATAGTGCAAGATGCTGCCTATTATTATTAACCACATTCAGCTCAATTTGGTGTTGCAAAGGAGAGCAAGAGAAAATTCATACACTCCAAAATCAGGTTGCTAAGTAGATGGGCAAATGCCCTCAGTTGTCCTCTATGGCCACTGTAACATTTGATACGAATTTTGTATGCCAAAGCCATTTAGAAGCTACATAGCATGCCAACTTCCTACCTTGCGTGAGCTTAGTGAATGTACAGAATACGGCATAGAACTTTGAAGCTCCTTTGCAAGGTGGAAGCCAAGCTCCCAGAACCTACCACTGCTGAGTTAACACTTTAATAAATGGATCTGTGTTGCTAACCCATCTTAGGGTTACAATTTGATGGGCCAGACAAGGGTAGATTTAGAAAGTTTCTCTGTCAGATAAATCAATTTAAATATTTGCTTTTTCTCATATGCACTTCTCTGTGTCCCTCCATTTGTAGTTATTACCTGTGCCCATGAGAAGAGGCCACCTCTGGAGATGGCACACGGACGGCACTATCCCTGGAGTTGTCCACTAAGCTCCCTATGCAGCATTTAACTGAGCAAGTACACTTATATTTAACAGGATTTTAATGTGCACTCTTAGGTTGTAATTTCAACCCTATCCAATGGCTGTGTGTTTGTATTAAGTTTTATTATGTGTTTTAAAAGGCACGTGGTGGCGCTGCGGGCAAAACCGCAGAAGCCTGTGCTGCAGGGTCAGAAGACCAAGCAGTCATAAGATCGAATCCATATGACGGGGTGAGTGCCAGTTGCTTGTCCCAGCTTCCGCCAACCTAGCGGTTTGAAAGCATGCAAATCCAAGTAGATAAATAGGGACCTCTTCGGTGGGAAGATAACAGCGTTCCGTGTCTAAGTCACACTGGCCATGTGACCACGGAAGATTGTCTTTGGACAAACGCTGGCTCTATGGCTTGGAAACGGGGATGAGCACTGCCCCCTAGAGTCGAACACGACTGGACAAAAATTGTCAAGGGGAACCTTTACCTTTACCTTATGTGTTTTAACTACATACAACTAGTAATTTGACTCATTGTTTCTTTAAACAGCTGTGACCATTCTGAAGAAATAATATAACAGCATAACACTAAGAAGCTGATGTGTCTTAGCTTCCCTTTCCAACTGAGTAGCATCATTTCCCTGTTTCCTTATGACTTGTGTACTTGGTTAGTCTACCTTCTACTCTAGTCTTTCAAGTCCTATTCCAGTGATATCTCTTGGAGAAAGATCTGCCTTGTAGATGGTTACTTACCACACTATGATCCTACCCATTTACTGAAATTCCTAGACAGCATGAAATAGCCACATCAACTTTTAAAATGGGAATCATGACTCAGGTCTTTAAGAACGGGGCAACACTTGGCGAAAGCATGGGAAGTGACTCACTGTAAAATGAATATTTAAGCAACTTGCAGTGCCAGTGGAATAATTTGCCTGCAATAAAGTCTGGATCCTTTTTAGTAAGCACAGTTAAAACTAATTAGCTTGCAAATCAATGAGACAGCAGATTAAAGAAACACTTGAGTTATTTAAAAAGCTTTTATGTATATAAGGCAGTAACTCCTAATTGCTGCCTTCTACAGCCTTGGTGTCAATTTCTCAAATTCTGATGCAAGAGACAGATTGACTGATAGTCTCTTAATGCTTTATTTACTAAGGAAATCTTTCCAAAGGATTAAAAATTCATGAGATCCCAGAGGCCCTTAGTGGTGGTTCCCTTAATGCTGTTCTGAATTCATAATGTGAAAAAGGTGGTGGCTCAGACCTCTGGAGGGACGGGCTGTATTATCATGTCGCTCTTTGGAGATGTATAAATCTAAATTGTTGTCTCCTGCCTCTACTGTACTTCTCTGCCAAAATGGCTCATTCTGCTACTCTAGTTTGGAATAAAATGACTTACACCAGTGATAGATCACTGAAGAAGCTTCTCAGATGTACTTGATAAACTAATAAGGAGACTGTTTAATTAACAATAGTTAAAAAAAAAAACACAGAACTACTACTCAATGCATCCTAAGGGCTACTGTGTGGTGGTGATGATGGCAGCAGTAGTGGGAAACCACTAGCGAGAAAACATGAACAGAATTAATCTGTGTTCCAGAATGCATTTGTGAACTATGTATCTGACATTTACAACAGATTGCAAGAATTTATTATGCAGCATGTAGTAAAACCAGAAGCAGTGAGCCGCCAAGGAAATATGGAAGCAACTGCTATTCACTTTATCACATGCTGTCAAGAGAGGAGTAGTTCAAAGGCTAGCCTTTCCAATGTAATTTGAGCGCCTAATCAAGATTTTTATGCTTCAATTAAAAGCTGAAAATCAATAAACAGAAGAAAGGATTTTAAGAATGAAAGCCATGTAAACTTTGATTGGACACTAAATATCACTAACTAGTACAAACAGTTCTTATAAGTCAGGATTGTAAACAAAACAAATGATACAAATATCAATGTCAACAGAAGCAATCATAGGGGAAACATTTCATGCTGAAGCAAAACAAAGCTATTCAAAAACCCATTGGTTTTTATAATGGTTTTTGATTAGACAATTTTGACAGGGCTGGAATGAGGGGGAAATAGATACTTAATTGGCATTTTCGGAGTTGTCATCTTTCTACAAGGAGAAAGGTGGAATAGAAATCAAATCAAATAAATAAATGTTCCACTGCTCTTTTATAGCTTTATTTTGCTGTTTTATATTTCAGGTATTTTCATGATATTCAATGGTCAAAATCCTGTTGCAAGCTCACGAAGCTTTGATGCAATACGCCTTCTATTTATTAATGTCTGGCATCTACTTTTATAGCTGCCTGGAACAAAGGAACAGAAAGAGTCATGTGTTGAAACTGGATCAGTGTTAGTTAACTGGCTTCCCTTTGTTAGCACTCATCTAATTTCAACTAGATGTGGGTTGTTTGTATTTGCCTGTCAATACGAAGCATCTGGCACAGGTGGCCGGTCTGATTACCACTGATCCCCACAACCTGCTGGACCACTTACTCTGCAGTGCGCGCGTCGGCGACATCTCCTTTGCCTCAATTACAGCAGTAGCCCAGCTGCTGCAGCCCCGCCTCCCTACTTGCCCAGCCACTCTATGGCTGAAGCAGGAAGACTCATTGTCCCGCCCTTTTGCTGGAGTGGCTGGGCGAGCAGGGAGGCGTGGCTGCAGAAACCAGGCTACTGCCACAATTGGGAGATGATGCCAGCCAGGCAGGCCACATGCTAAGTGGCCTGTCAGGTTGTGGTAGTGGGTGCGAATCAGGCCAGCCACCTGTGCTGGCAGGCGTTGCATTTGTAGACAAACATGAAGCCCTCATGTCTAGTCTCAATGTATGCCTCTCCCTTTCAGCAAGAAATGTCATATCCAGTTAGTTACCAGTAAAAAATTAATGGCAGGCTCCAACCTGATAGTCCAGCTGTTGTGAATCAAGTCCTTGGTGACATAAGTCACATTGTCTAGAGTCTCAGCCAGTCAAATATGTCACTGTGGTGATGCAAGTTAACTTATGGCCATGCTGAACTGCAATGCTAACGTTTGAGGGAATCATGGGAACTCTTCAGGATAATGGTTAGCCTCGTGGTGCAGTGGCTAAACTGCAGTACCGTAGTCAAAAACTCTCCTCACAACCTGCGTTCCATCAGCAGGTAGCTGCTTCAAGACTGACTCAACCTACCATTCTTCTGAGGTTGCTGAATTGAGTAGTCAGCTCACAGAGGGAGGAGCGAAGTGTAGCCTGTATAATTGAAGTGTAAACCACCCAGAGAGAGCTTTAAGTACTATAGGGCAGTATATAGGTAGCACACTTTTTTTTTTGTTACATGGCCAAACCAATAAGAGAAGAATCCTACCATGGATTTATACTGATCTAAAAATAATGGCATAAACTGCACTTGTAAATTGTCACTAATTAAGAAGCTACTGTTCACATTCTAGTCACACTGTTCATTCTGAGTCACATCTCAAACGATGCTGTTCAATTCACAGTAACTCCAATATATTTTATGTAAGATGCTTTATCTTTTAAGAAACAGGTATGCTTTTGCCAATCACAAACTAACCTATGATCCAAATTTATGCATTTTATTAATTGAGAAAGACAGCCATTACACTGTGTTCCCAGAAAAGACTACACATGAACTCCCAAGTCACCCTTCTTATTCTCTGTTTTCACTGGCCTGCACTGGGAGTACAATCACTCTTTCAAACTTCAGCACACTCCCATGACATTAGAATTTAATTAACAATCATTGATTTCACCAACAGTTACTAAGCTGTCACAGAACAATAGGTGCAATGTGTTACAACTCATTAATCACTGTCTAAAATTCACTACAAAAAATGTCACCGAAAAATGTTGCACATAATTAATTGCATATAAGAACAATCATGCAGTAACTTCCTTGAGAAAATGAGAACTCACACTATGTTGACTTTCAATCTCCTCATGTTTTTGCTGTAAAGCCTGTGAGGCTCTAATTGAATCACCGATTCCCCACTGGGTTCTAAGTTGCTCTGATCCAGGTCCTTCAAGCCAGTTCACTACCTGTTAAAAACAACAACCACAGCAGGATTATCACCACAGTGTAAAATTAAAGCAGCAGAATCTAAGATGATTTTAAAGGACCATTAAATTTGCCATCGAGTATTTATTAATTCAAGGGAAGGACTGTGTGTCTTTGAAAGAATCAATGCAGTTTTGGAAGGGGAATGGGGCATCATAATTGGAATGCTAATGCAACATTTCTTCCAATGGTTCTGGTGGAGAGGGGGGGCAGTGATGTGTAATTGATCAGTTTAAGTCGTTCTTTGCATTTTTATATATATTTATTATTTTTATATTTTTACTGAATGCATTCTTCAATAAAATTTAAATTTTTTTTTTTAAAAGACTATTAAAATTTCTCTTCCAGAAAAAGTACCAGCAATGGTGGCCTTTCTGATCAGTATAGAGGCATAGCAGAGAGAGATGCAAAGCTAATCACCCATTTCCCAATGCTTTTGCTGAGGCAAATGTGAAATCCCACATTTCTTTATTATGTCTTCTTCATACACCTTAATAATGTGTCATTTCAGAAATAAAGACTGTGCTCACATTTACCAACTGTCAGTTCAGACCTATATTAGTAGATGAAATGAAAAATTTCCTTCTTCAGAGGAAAAGCAGGTAGAGGTATTTTAGTTCCTAGCAAAACCTAAACTTTGTCGATTTGCAGAATCACAGTTACTTTGTCTGGGAATAAATTTTGCAACATTTGATAGTTTTTCCATACACATTGCTATTTCACAGGTTATTATACTATTTAAATAGTATTATATACGTGCTATTTAACTTCAGTTTTTACAGTAAAGCAAGCAAGACTAGGATGAACAGCTGTAGGAAAAGATTGCTCTATGGGGCCTTCTTGTTCAGCTTACCTGCATAACAGACAATGAGAGCTAGCAACTTCCCACAAAGTGGGGCATAAAGAGTCCAAGAGGGATAAAAGGACCACAAAGAAACAGAACTTTTGAATATGTACAGAAAAAAAAGAGAGAGATAAAGATCAAAACTGCTTTTCCAAGAACACCTACGAACTGGCACAATTGAAGTAGTCATTCTGACTCCTCTCCCCTGCACCCACCTACTTCCCCTGACTGCTGTCATTTCATTCACTGCACTTACACATCGTACACAATCACCACTGGAGGGGGAAGATACTGTTAGTCTCCCCTGCACCCACCTACTTCCCCTGACCACTGCCATTACACATCGTACACGATCACCACTGGAGGGGGAAGATACTGTTATGAATGAGAAAACGCCAGCAAATCTCGTTACTGACACCATATTACTGCCTAAGGTAGGAATGAACAACTTTGCCCCTTCCAGGTGTTTCTGACCTACAGTTTCCTGTCAGCACTGGCAAAGTACCAAATATGAGAAATTATATGAACTGTGGGCCAAAAACATTCAGAGTACCGCCTTCTAGCCTTGGATAATCCAGGTGTTCTTGGACTGCAACTCCCAAAAATCCTGGCCAGCAAAGCTGGTGGAAAAGGCTTCTGGGAGTTTTAGTCCACAAATACCTGAGATACCCAAGGTCAGGAGGCATTGCTCTAGCCTGGCAGTTGCTCACCAGAGCCTAACCATGCAATAGTAGTGCCTGGGCTGCTTACGTCCGGTTCATGATATGCAAGTGCTATATCACTACATACACCAGGGCAGATCCAAGAGACTAATGCATTCAGGCAACAGTGAGAGTGATTTCCTACTTCTTATATAGTTAAAGATGGGAGGGTAGAATACACGTTACATGCATGTTGGAGAGGGCCTGAAATTTCTTGTGAAGCACACAAAGGCATGGATCTATACATTAGTTGTGACTTCCTTTCCTACTGAAAATCTGCATTAATAATTCAGAGTTGATACAAGGGTGAAAGCCCTTGTAAGTCATGCTGGATTATGGTTCTGTGAAGGGGACGGCAGTCTCCGTTGGGGCCCGGGGCCATTTCCCAGCTTTTATGGAGTCTGAGGCCACATTCCAGAAGGGACAGAGCTATAGGGAATGGGTCTGGCATAGGCTGAGATGCTGGGTTTTTGTCAATTGGGGAAAAAACGGCATTTAACGGAAAAATCAGCCTCATACCCTCTACTGGCCAAAAAAAAAAAAAAAAAAGTCTGGAGGTATGATATATCAGGGTACTGGGGGCTTCATGACATGGAAAAATTGTTCCCTAAGAGTACAAGATTATTTTCAGAGCAAACCTTTTTTCATTTTAGTGTATGTGATGCTGGGGGTGGGGGGGCTCTCCAGTTATGCTGCAATGATGCCCCTGCAGGGCATTTTGCCTATTACTCATTTTGATGCAACAGGCACAAGCAAGAGTGGATCCCAGCGCCTAGGTTTCCAAAAATCCCTTCTTTTCCTCCCACATAGCCAGAGAGGATGAGTAGGAATTTGGAAGTTTTTCACACCCATCCACTCGTGACAAGTGCTGTTAATTAAACTCTCATGTTGCTGCAACCAGAAGATACGGTGAAAACCAAATATAGCTGGTTTCAACAAAGAATTGTGATCTGAAATTGCTTGGTTCAAAATATACAAGAATTAATGTTGAACCAATTGTTTGTAGCTCCAAACAGACAAGAAAATTGCTTAGTGTCTTTCTCTACAACACCCTTTTATTCAGATTCCAATATTTATCACCAAGAAAGTGTATACTCTTGATATATATATGTGGAGAGCTAAATTAATGATTCACATCTTTCATGGATCTTTTAGAGTTAACCTGGCGGCCGCTACCCTGAATATTTAAATTATCTTGAGCAGGTAACTTCTAAATGGATTACTAAGTAATAAAAAAAACACCAAATGGTTCCTTTTCTGGCTTGCAAAGAGTTCAGTTCATTTACTATGTGGCTTCAGTAACAGGGAGAGAGCAAATGGATGACAATTTCTAATCAGAATGATGCAAACTGAGCTTGATGCCCCAGTAAACAAGTCTATTTAAATGCATTAATGATGGCAGTTTGCCAAAACTGGGTTATAAACTTCATTTCTATCAACCCATCTTTGCTCTGAGCATTTGAATACTTGAGCTATCATAGTAAGAAATCCAATATTTTGTTTATATTGACATAATGCAATAGCCAATTCATTCAATTTTCATATTTTAACCTGTGGTGAAGGACTGTGCTCTACAGAAGATGTGTTTGCTATTTTATTTAACTACATCCAAAATACTAGAAAGCAGAAGCATTTGCTTTAGTATCTTTTCCAAGACAATGTCTGCAAAAAAACCCCCAAATACTACAGATTTCTAAAACTCTAGGACCGTTCTTGACCTTTAGGTAAATTCATTTCAAGTGCGTCTCTTCCACCCCCACCCCCACACACACTTTATTACTCACTGTATGAACAGACCATACTGCAAACACTGGATTTTAATCATAGGATATACTAACCCATTTATATATCTGTCAGTAAAATAAACTGTTATTTGTGTTCTATGTACCATAAATAGCTTCAGAACACACACACACACACACACAGAGAGAGAGAGAGAGAGAGAGAGAGAGAGAGAGAGAGAGCGAGCATTCAAGAATGCAACAACAGTCTTTGTTTTTTGGGCCACGAGAACTTCTATTTAAAACATCTGTAGCCTTCATGGATTGCTGCCTTGTCGTGGCGAAGAGGCTTGAGTAATTCAGAGAAGCTATGGGCTATGCCGTGCAGGAACATTCAAGATGGACAGGTCTTAGTGGAGAGTTCTAACAAAACGCAATCCACCTAGAGCAGGAACTGGCAAGCCACTCCAGTATCTTTGCCAAGAAAACCCCATGAATAGAAACAAAAGGCTAAAAGATATGATGCTGGAAGATGAGCCCCTCAGGTCAGAAGGTGTCCAACATGCTACTGAGGAAGAGTGAAGGACAAGTACAAGTAGCTCCAGAGCTAATGAAGTGGTTGGGTCAAACCCAAAAGGACGCTCAGCTGTGGGCGTGCCTGGAAGTGAAAGGAAAGTCCAATGCTGCAAAGAAAAATGCTGAATAGGAACTTGGAATATAAGATCTATGAACCTTGGTAAGCTGGAGCTGGCCAAACAGGAGATGGCAAGAATAAACATCGACATCCTGGGCGTCAGTGAACTAAAATGGACGGGAATGGGCAAATTCAATTCAGCCTATTATCATATCTACTACTGTGGGCAAGAATCCCACAGAAGGAATGGAGTAGCCCTCATAGTCAACAAAAGAGTGGGAAAAGCTGTAATGGGATACAATCTCAAAAATGATACAATGATTTCAATATGAATCCAAGGCAAACCTTTCAATATCACAGTCATCCAAGTTTATGCACCAACCACCGATACTGAAGTGGCTAAAATTGACCAATTCTATGAAGACTTACAACACCTTCTAGAACTGACACCAAAGAAAGATGTTCTTCTCATTATAGGGGACTGGAATGCTAAAGTAGGGAGCCAAGAGATA